GGACATATGAGAACTTGTACTGTAACGTCATGTACCTCGGTAGTGTCCCAGATTTTCTGATCAAGAAGGTTATGGGGCCAAAGAGGAAATTGATCGATGACGTGGAGTGTGCCTAAGGAGAGTCACATGATGCTAGTTTAAAACGCGTTGGGTCACTCTGATTCCTGAAGCATTCATCAGAATTGACTAGCAGGGAAAGTTTTCCTAACCAGCTGAGGACAAATGAAATTATATAGCCAGGCCTCGTCTATCTTTATTGCTTCTCCTTGAGCTCATGCCGCTGTCCCTTTGCACTCTTACAGTCCAGTGCCCTCAGCAGTCAGAAGTTCAGGCTGCTTCTGACCTAAGTTGAATGTGACATTCCTCCCAAGGCCAATTCTATACTCACTGTAAACCTGAGAGGTAGTTGCTCGGCCTTTTGCAACGTGAACTGTCAGTTCTTGGCATTTGCGGTGCCGTCTCCTGCTGTCCCTGTCGCAGGACCTTTAGCTGAGGCGACTTGTTCAGTTGAAGTCTTTTCCTGCCCAGCCGTGCATCTCTTAGGCTTTCCTAGGTCATTTCTACCTTTGAAGACCTTGGCTCAAACTTGACCTCATTCATGAAGTTGTTCGCTTTTGCTCAATAGTGAATTCTGCTCAGCGCAAATCTTTTTTTAAAAATTTCTTCCTATTATCTTAAAAAGGCAGTGGTTTTCTTGACAAAAGGAGCTTATCTTCTATGTCTTTTAGACCCATCTCCCATAGTCTGCTATCAGTCAGATATTGTCTTAATACTTGGTTTTTGAAGGGAAGTGTTTGTAATTAGTGGTTTTCAAAATATGACAATTCTAATAGTTGATACTGTAAAAATTCATGTGCTCCTTATATTTGCTTTATATTTTGGTGATTCAGATACTGGCTGTTATAATTGAGTATTTTGGACATTTCAGGTATTCTTAATAAGTTTTACAAATGTAGTGATGCAAATGTTATTTTTAATTCAAGCTCTACTTTCCTTCTCTTGTTTTGATGGCCCTGGATGTACTTGTTTGGTCCCCCGTGGTGACCCTGAGGCTGTTGTGGCACCCTGCAGAGAATCCCCAGTTGAGATTGTACTTGACTCCTTCCCGTAAGATGCACTGCTGTGATATGCTCCTCACTCTTTATTTCTTCATTTCCTTATACTTTATTCTTAATGATAAAATTCCATCTTTTATGCTTTGGTGTTTTCCTGTTCGTTCTCACGTAGGCAATGTGTACCGTGATATGATACACATTGCCTATATTTTTGTAATATAAATGAGCAATATATGTATATATAAACACATATTAGTTATATATCTAGTTTATATACATTAGCAATATGTAGAACTTTGTGAAAGATTTATTTATTTATTATTAATAGCACCATTTGTCTTGTAATTTGGTTCTTTTTAGGTTGTAGTAATTTATATTGCTCAAGGAACTTTTTATTCTATTATAAAGCACAAAACACTACCAACTTTTTTTATCTTTTATTTAAAAATTTTTCTTTTGTCTTGCTATGCAGTTCAGGCTGACCTTGAGCTCGTTCTGTAACCCAGGCTAGTCTTGAGCTCTCAGCAATCCTTCTGCTTCAGCCTCCTGAGTGCTGGGATTACAGGTGTGCACCACTACACCCGTCTTTTTTTTTTTTTTTTGGTACTGAGGGTTGAACTCAGGACCTTGCAATTGCCAGGCCGGTGCTTATGCTGCTGAGCTGTCTCCCCAGCCTCCCAACTTTAAATATTTAAAATAGTACTCAAATGTAAATTATTGCAAAGCAATTATATATTTGTGCTTATTTTAGGAATCAAACATTTTAAGTCCAGTACAAGACGGAACAAAGTCACCCCAGATCGACAGCAATAAGAGCAACAACTACCGGATTGTGAAGGAGGTCAGTGGATAGAAGCTGTTTTTGCATAGGCTTACATTTGCTTGACAAACACTGCTCTGCTAATACTTGGTATTGCATTGCTGTTTGTTATCCTGAATGCTTTCTCTCTTTTTTTTGAAGATTTTGATTAGGTTGAGTAAACTTTGTGTGCAGAATAAAAAGTGCCGGAACCAACACCAGCGGCTGCTGAAAAACATGGGGGCCCATTCTGTGGTGTTGGACCTTCTGCAGATCCCCTACGAAAAGGTGTGTGTCCTTGTCAACTTTTTCCTTCAACTTTTTATTTCAACACAATTTCATATGTGTAGCAAAGTTATAAAGAAGTTTTTGTTTTCCTTTAACTATTTGCAAATAAGTCCTCCTTTCTTGAGCCCTTTGGTTTGCGTGTCACAGAAACGGGGTTAGGGACATAGTGTATATATAACACATCTGCAGTCATCCTCATCAGGAAAGGGCACGACAGTTTCCTGCCACCCTGGCCCCTGCCCCACTCGGGTTTCTCCTGTTGTCTGAATTGTGCTCTGTCTGACCAAAGATCTGTTTAGGAGACATACACCGTGTGGTTATTATATCTGTTTAAATCTCACGCCAGGAGGCTTTGTTACTTTCACAGATAATTTTTGCAGATAGCCAGTTATCTTGAATGGTGTCCCCCAATTTGAGTCACCATTTATTTCTCTGACTAAACTCAGTAATGCCATTTTGGCAGGAGCATTACAGAAAGGTGCTATTTTCCTTTCCTTGCTTTCCAGTAAATGGGTTTGATTTATCCTATTATTAATTTATATATATATATATATTTTTTTTTTAATTTAAAACATCTTTATTTATTTATTTGGTACAGGGTTTCGCTATGAAGTTCAGACGTGTAGTGACCCTCCTGTTCTCAGTCTCCCCAGCGCTGGGATTACCGGCATGCACCACCATACCTGATTTTAGGGCTGGTACAGAGTGCCCAGGGTTCCGGGGCTGGCACTACATGCCTTACTGGGGATCAAACTCAGGACCTTGTGCTTGCTGTGCAGGCACTTAGACTGCTGAGCTATCTCCCCAACCCCCTATTATTAATATTGATGTGAATGTCCACTTGGATCACCTGATTCTCTACCTGGATTTTGCATTGTGAAGTATTCATTTTCCTTTTGTGATTAGTAAATACTTTGTGAAGAGATTCGGTGACACCAAGTATTTTATCTAACTTTGAAGTCATTCGCTTGTTATCAGTATGGACATGTGGGTGCTAACTTTATTCAATAGGTTACAGTAGGTTTTTTATTTTTATTTACTTATTTATTTATTTTTGCGGAACCAGGGATTGAATTCAGGCCCTTTGTGCTTGCCAGGCAAACACTTCTACTGAGCTATCTCCCTGCCCACCTCCCCTTTTTAAAAGAATACAAAATAATAAAAAGAAAAAAAACATTAGAAATGATGCAATATTTCATTAGACAAAGTTATAGAAATTCAATAGTGGTTGCTGTATTGTATGATATTATCTTCAAATTATTTGTTTCGGTTACCAGATACAAGCCTGAAAAAATTGTTTTTTTAAAAAAGAACAAAACACCAAAAAAGAAAATAAATTATAAGAAGTTAAAAAGAAAAAATAAATAAATAAAATTTAAGCCTTAACTGTTCCTTTAAGTAAACCAGCAGAAATCAGCAGTACAACTATCCAAGCTATCTTGCATATTTACAGAAATATATCTTTTTCCCTTCTGTCTTTCGTCGTTTTCCTCATCCCAGTTTTTCCTTCCCATTGAACAAATTCTTTCCCTTTCCAGGTATCTGTTGTACCTTTCAGGTTTTACTTACTTTCAAGTTCTCGCACTAGCGAGACAATACGATGTTTGCACATGTGGGTCTGACTTATTCCACTTACCAATTTAGTCTCTAGTTGCATCCATTTAATAGGTTCCCATTGTCATTTTTTTCCCTGAGAGTCTCCTAGATCTGGCCAGGGAAGCCCATTCAAGTAGATTCCCCGTCTAACATTTCCTCATCGTTCTGTGGCTGCTTTCTTGCTCTCTGGCACAATAAAACATTCCACCCGCAATTGCTTTTTTCTTGCCCAACCCAGGGCTTTGGGCGTGCTCCCTTTGGCACAGAGTGCTATTCAGAAGGGGACTTCTGAGAGCCGAGTGTGCTTGTTGCTATCTGGGTGGTAACGCTCCCGACCCTATAAAAAGACAAGGGCAGGACATGCGCCTGTGTGTGTTCATGCAGCATGTACAAATTGTATTTATTTTGTTATCTAACTGTACAGTATTGAAAGCCATGGTTCTATACCAGTGACTCTATAATTTCCAAACCACGAGGCTCATTTTAGCCTCTCCTTTCCCATATTGTATCTCTGTTTTCCAACACTCACTGGGAGACCTGCTGTCCCATCATCTGCAATATGGCTACTTGCTTATCGATATCCTGTGTTAAACCACCATGTGGTCTTCTGTTACGCCACTGTCATGCCTCCCTCTACCTCTTACTGAGTCTGTGACAGCCCCCGGGGTGAGTGGCCCCTGCACCTCCCTTGGGTGCCAGTGCACCAGGCCAGACCTGTCTATGTGGATGCGCACCCCACTTGGGCTTTCATTAGGTTGCCGGTCCCCTTCCAACTTGGTTACTTTAATTTATATAAAATTGTAAGTTTATACCATTCCTAAGCTGGCCTAATTCAAGCTATAGTAGAAAAAGCAATAGAAGAATTATAGAAAGACAACAAAGGATATTAGATCCTAAGTTAGTATTTATTATCCAAATTATTTTTTCCTGTTACGATAAGATGGATTTGGCCACGTAAGCAATCCCCCTTTTCTAATAGTGTCAGTGGGGCACTGAGGATATTGCTCCTACTTTGTTCTTATCTGTGTACTTGGATTTATGAGTGGATTGTTCAGATGCAAAGAATAAGGTGAGAATTCTAAAGAAAGATGACTATGGTAGCACCGGCCCTGACAGTGTTCTTCAGTCCTGGTGGGGGTTCTGTGTGAACTGGGTGCATCTGTTGTTGAAGTGTCTTTATCATCGTGTAAGTATGCCTCAGTTATCCAGGTAAAAGAGACAGTAGATTTTTGAAATAAACTTTACAGTTTGGGGTTGTGAATGGAGTCGTCCCATCCCGTCCGTCGTGTCCCCCCCCCGTGGAACTGGAGATTGAACTCCGACCCTTGCGCTTGCCAGCCACACGCTTATTCTACTGAGCTATCTCCCAGCCCCTGCATGGGGTTTTCTATTTCAGTGATGGTGAACCTTTTAGAGCTTTCAGTGAAAACAAACAGCTTGCTGCAGCAAGTGTGCCATAGGTTTGCCACCACTGATCTCTTTATTTTTGTTTTATGTATGAATGAATGGTCTACTAATGACTGTGGGCATCTTGTTTGGTTAAAGAGGCATAAGCTCCATGCCTCTTGGGTGTACCTTAGGGAAAAGGAAGACGTTTCATTCATTCATTATGCTCTGGCACTCAACACATGAGACCCTTTTGAAGCTTTGACATGGACTACATGAAAAATGGGACAATCAGCTATTCATGAAATGTTTAGATGGTTTCATTGATGTTAAACTTCCACCTTTAAGATGGGAATTTTGCATTCTCTGTAAACTAATTTCAAGGCCTAAGTTTCTTTTGAGATTCCGTAAGCAAATGGTAGTGGCAAAAGGTAGGATATTAGGGAATAACAGGGAAGGGGACAGAGGCTCCTGCCAAGAGAAGACAACAAAGCGGGGGGGAGGGGAAGTAGACAGTGGAGGGAAAAGGGGTGAAAATTTAGAGTCAGAGGAAGTAGAGATTGGAGAGGAGAGCATGGTGAGGGGCTCGTACAAAGAGACAAATTCACAGCTGGGGGAAGAGAGGAAAGTGAGCCGAGAGGAGGAGCGAAGGCCAGGTGAGAGGGAGGGATGGAGACAGAGGACAGAGGGAAGGAGTAGACTTTAAGAGAGGCTCTAGGAAAGAAATAGGAGGAAGAAGTGGGTATGGAAGGTGGGGAAAGGGAAACAACAGAGTGTAGAAACAGGACCAGACATGCATGTGGACACATTGGGAACAGGGTTGCCCCTGATGGGGGAAGGAATTAGAGGAATGAAAGGGTACGGATGAGAAGGGAGAAATAAAGAAGGGAAGAGGAGAGAGGTGTGGCCAGAGGTGTGGTAGACATTGAAAGGCCAGGGGAGAAAGGGTCCCCGGAGCTGAGCAAGTATGAGGAAAAATAGAGGGCATTGACCATCTAGACTATGCACAGCAGACACAGCAGGGGTGACCGGGAGCCGTGGAAGTGTAAAGGGGTGGCAGGGGGAGCATGTATGTGGGGAGGGGGACGCGTTTTCCTGCCGTATTCGTGTGAGGTTTGCTTCTCAGTATTATGCTCACTCTACTGACCTACAGACCGATGAGAAGATGAATGACGTCATGAATCTGGCCCACACATTCCTCCAGAATTTTTGTCGGGGAAATCCACAGAATCAAGTTCTCCTTCACAAACATCTGAATTTGTTCTTAAATCCTGGTGTAAGTATTTGCATGACCACTGATATTTATAGTAAAGTGCGTAGCATTTTATTTTGGTGGCACTAACTGATAGAGTTTTTTAAATCATGGTCAGCTCAGTTTTTTCCTTGTAGAGCTTATTTTCCTAAAATTGATTATGTTTCTATTTGCATTAAGACCACGTTCAAAGTAACTTGAAAAATCACACTAATTTTTATATGTTAGTGACAATTTTGTTTATATGTATCTAATTCAAAAAATTATGGTCAAAGGTGGCCAAACGTAGAATTAACCTGATGATACAGTGAATAAGATAAACATGAAAAGCTCAAAATGGAGTTTACGCTGGCTTGTTAAATGTGTTTAAGCAGATCTTAGGGAAGAACTAACTTTGGATAATAGCTAATGAAACCAACCTCAGGAACAACACCAATGCCCACATGTCGCCCTTGGTGAGCACGAGCTCTTTTGTCCACTGAACTCCTTTGCAACTGCAATTTCTTCGGATGGTTACTGATCTCCCCGCCTGCTGTGGAAGGCATGTACGGCTCATTCTCTGTGGCTCTGCATGAACGATAGCGCTGGTCACAACAGGGAACACGGTCTGAGTTCTGGAGAGTGGAAAACGGGTCTGGTCTTCCTCTCACCGGCACGTTCCTCTCTCTGCCCAGCTCCTTGAAGCGGAGACCATGCGGCACATCTTCATGAACAATTACCATCTGTGCAACGAGATCAGCGAGAGGGTGGTGCAGCATTTTGTGCACTGCATCGAGACGCACGGCCGCCACGTGGAGTACCTCAGGTTTCTGCAGACAATTGTGAAAGCAGATGGTAAATACGTGAAGAAGTGCCAGGATATGGTAATGACGGAGGTATGCTCTGGGTTGGCATTTTATCAGCTTGCCGTAAACAGTGTGCTCCAGTATGTGTTTTCTATTAATTAAGAGCAGGAAAGAAACCATAATGCAGGCATGGAAAATCATGTAAATGAGCCGTGGCTTCTTCAGCACATATACTTTTTTGCTGTAGTCTAGGGGAGCAACATGTGGGCCACTTGAGTTGTGATTTTCCAAAAGTTTTTCCTTGTGATCCATTGTGAATTTGGGTAGGTGGAACAATGGGTAACAGCTTACGATTTCATACAGGTATTTGGAGTTAAAGAGGCAAAAGCTTTTATTTCTAACTTTGCAGTAATACAGTGAAGAGATGGAAACAAAGATAGAAATTTCCATAGGCTTTCGTCGCTCTGTTTCTCACATGTAGAATGGATGTCCTTTGCCATTATTTGCAAAGGCCTTGAAGGGATCCGAGATCGTGAATATAAACCACTCACGTGTGCTTGGTACGATAGGTAGTAACTTGCTACTTAGCTTAAGAATTTATAAAAAAGGTGGTATACGTAATTTGTGTTGCCCCTTTCATTTTGCTGTTTGACTCTGTATAAGATCTACAGAACGAGGAAGTTACGAGGAACCAAGCGTAAGACTCTGGGGGCTCGGAGTGCGAGGCATCCACGCAAGTGAATCACTCCTTTGTGAAGGAATAAATGGCTCCTCAGTGGCCCATGTGGATTAAGTAGCATCCAGCCACAGCCAGCAAACAGGCACACCATATACTGTTAGCGTGGGGACATTTTTAGGGCATTCCATGCTTTTTATTTGGGAATAGAAGATATTTTCATATCGATCCAGTGTGGATTCCTCTTGCCACTTGGAAGTCTTAGCATTGGCTCTGCATGAGACCTTGAATTTTTACAAGTATATTCTTATTATTAAGTACGGTGAGGAACATTACCATCAACTTGTAAAATTTACCTTTCTTAAATGTCTGTTTGCGTTCACGTTAGTTCTTTATTGTGTGGAAATGGGTGGGAACTACATTGATTTTATAGTCTCATCACCAAGCAAGAATTAGGAAACTATTTGTTTTTTAATTTCATTTTTGAGACAGCTTCTCACTATGTTGCTGAACTAGCCAGGCGGAGCTTGAGTGCGTGATCCTCATGGCTCAGCCTTTCAGAGGGCTGGGATTACAGGTGTGCGCTACTGTATCTGGCCTGTGTGTGTGTGTGTGTGTGTGTGTGTGTGTGTGTGTGTATGTGTGTGTGTGTTTCTTTTTTGGGGTACTGGGGATTGAACTCAGGATCTTGACCTTGCCAGGCAGGTGCTTGTGCCACTGAGCTGTTCCCCTGGCTCTCCTTTCTGGTTTTGATAGCATATGATTACTTCTTTCCATCATCCTGCCTTGGCATAGCTCTATGCATTTGCAGTATTAGTTGCATTTTTACAAAGAGATGCATGTGTTTCTAGATAGGTCAAGCCTTTGGAAATAATTGCAAGCACGAACATTTGGAGTGCTATGTAGATTCTCTTGTTCTCATCATTGCAGTTGATAAATGGGGGTGAAGATGTGTTGATATTCTACAATGACAGAGCATCGTTTCCAATCCTTCTCCAAATGATGTGTTCAGAGAGAGACCGAGGGGATGACGGTGGCCCCTTGGCCTACCACATCACCCTGGTGGAGTTGCTGGCGGCATGCACAGAAGGGAAAAATGTGTACACGGAGATCAAGTGCAATTCCCTTCTGCCCCTGGATGACATAGTGAGGGTGGTGACCCATGATGACTGCATCCCTGAGGTGAGCCTTGTGGAAGCGTAGTGGCCGTGCAGTTGTCACTCATGTCGAAAGCTCATAGAAGTGCTGGTAGTCTTCGTACTAATTAGTATGGATAATGAGATCATATATTTAGTCAAGGAGTTGTGTTTAGCTATATGATTTGGAAATTTTCAGAGAACATAAAAGGTCTACGTTTAGTTCTAAAAGTTATGAAGGATAAACCTTTGAAACTATAGCCAGTTTGTTTCCTGGAAACTAATACAAATGGCTTCTACGTTCTGCACGGCAGTGGGTGCAGACAAAAAAGCTTGTACATAGCCTCTAGTGTGCTCTTAAGCGCTGAACAAGAGCCCCTTAAATGTTGTCAGTGATGATGGAAGATGCTAGGTTAGTCCTGCGGGATTCCACATCAGACACCATGCAGTTATCTTGCCTTTATGCATAGGTGCTTTCTTGAAAATATGCTCACTATGGGCTGGGGAGATAGCTCAGCAGGCTAAGCACCTGTCTGAAAAGTACAAGGACCCAGGTTTAATCCCCGATACCACATACCATGCTGGCCTGGAACCCTGGCAGCATGCTGCCAGCCCTGAAACTGGGCATGGTGGTGCATGCCTGTAATCCTAGAACTGGGTAGGCTGAGACAGGAGGATCACTAGGAGTCTAAGCTGTGTAGTAAGACCCTGTATCCAATAAATAAGTGAAGAATTAAAAAAAAAATATGCCCACTCATTTTGCTTTATTTACACATCCTCTTCTGCCCTCTGTCCTAGTTTGGCTTTGATACGAAAGATCTCTCTGCAGAAGCTAGTTGGCCACCAGTGGAGTCCTATTAATGGGGCTTCCAGGAATGTAGATTGTAATAAATTCTTTCAATTGTGATGTGTTATTGCAAACTTCATAAATGTGTGGTACACTGAAAATAGTATGGAACCAAACAATTTTAAATCACAGTGACTTAAAAAGCTGTCAGGGAAGACTAACTTCCCTATTTCCGAAAAGTTCCACGTAGGGATGGACTTGAAAGAATATTTTTGTGAAATTTTGTGGAACCTTTGACCCCTCAGCTGAAGGGTGCATGATGCCTTGAGTGGTTGGAGATAAGATGGCAGAGAGTCCCTATAGTTCAGTGAGGAGATCCGTAGCTCCTGTTCCTGTGTGAGGCGCTGGTCTTGGCTGTGCCGTGTGCCTCACACAGCTCCCCCTGAGGGCACCATCTGTGTTCGCTGAGGTAATCCCTTTTCACCCTTCAGATCCCACTTCTTCTGGGACAAGTGCCCTGCCTTCCTTCAGTGGCTTCTAGAAGAATCTGTAGTATGGAACATGGTTTATTACTTAACAATTGTCTTCAGCCCTCTTACTTTTGGCCAAGATTATAAACTTGGGAGGTAACAGCTGGAGCTCTTTCAGGTTGCCATTGTATCATCTGAGCCAGCATCCGTGCTCAGTAAGTAGATGTGGAGTGCAGGAAGAATGAATTGAAAAGAGCCAGAATCCTGGACCCTTTACTTCCCAGTCACGTTGCTACCAAACCCTTCCTTCCAGTCTTCAATTTCTACAGTTTTAAAGTGAAATTGTCGTAGTGATACACCTCATCAGATTTTCAGAGGATTCAATTAAACAAGACAATATTCACCCAATGCCAAGGACATTTGGCATGTAGTATGCGCTGCAAATGCGGATCAGCTGCCGTGAGAGCCTGAGGAGGGGCGGACCAGCTCCCATGTCTCCCCACCCTGGGACTCTTGATTGACAGTTTGTTTGGTCCCCAGCAGGGCAGCAGGAAGCCCCGAGGACATGAAAACTGACCTTGTACTCCATGGATTTTAATTTGGATTCCCTCATAATGATTGACATAATTTTTATCTATATGCATTTTTTTAAAGAGTTACAATATTCATTGGATTTTCACCAAAAAGGAACAGAATAAACAGAAGCAAAAACTATTTGCCTATGCACTTTAGAAATACTATGCATGGGTGAGACTCATCCTTCTTCTCTATGAGGAATTTTGCTAATTCTGGAAAATAATTTTGCTACGTCTTAAAGTGTAAACCATGAACCTGTTTCTTTTCAGGACCAGTAATGTAAATATTTTTCATGTCAATGTAGTATTATTTTGCTAACGTATTTAAACATTACACTAAGAATCTGTTAGTTGGAAATAAGAGAAACCAAATTCAAACTAGTTTAAATAAGAAAATGAACTTTCTTGGTTGTCGTACTTGGGAATTTGAAGAACAGTTGTTCAGGTGGGTCCAGATGTTGAAACCACGTCAGTATTCTTTCCATCCCTTGTTGCTTTTTTCCTTTGTGCTCTGTCTCATTCTCTTCTTCAGGGCATAATTGTCCTCTCCACATCTGTAGGAGATGGTTTATTATAGTTTAAGTTTATCATGTTTTGCTTCGTAATAGATGAGAGGGAGGAGAGAGAGAGAGAACACACTTTTGACTCCTTATGTCTTGAAGGTGATGAACTCGGTTACACTACAGCGCTCCTAGTAACACCAACCACTGGGTGCAGGGAAGTTCAGTACTCTACCAGGTTACATGTTCACTGCTGGGTCTGAGTGGATGGCCTTAGCAAAAGAAGGGGCAGGATGTTCTTTGAGCAGATACAGGCCATCCTACAATCTTCTGTAAGGATGACAAAGATTTTATTTATCATTCCAGAAAGTGGTAGTTGAAAGTGATCGATAAAGAAATAAGCTTTCTTTTATTTGAAACGTGCACAGGTGAAAATCGCGTATGTGAACTTCGTCAATCACTGCTACGTTGACACGGAAGTGGAAATGAAAGAAATCTACACTAGCAACCACATTTGGAAACTATTTGAGAACTTCCTGGTGGATATGGCAAGGGTGAGTTACACTTTAGCTGTTGAGTACTATTCCATTTTAGTGACGTTGTATCTGTTGTTTAAACAATATTAAGTATCTGGATAAAAGACTTAAGTGAATTGTGCTGCTTTTCGATTTAATCTGTTATATTGTCATAGTTGTATATGAGTTTCACGTGGTTGTGACATTTAATGAGTTAATCTATACACAGTGCCTTGTATAAGGTGCATAGCGATGGATAAAGTATTCATTTTGTACCTTTTCAAATGAATGTATCTGTCTGTTATTAAACAGAATTTCTGTAGAGTTTGTTTTTTTGGGGGGCCTGCTCAGCCCACCCTGGGGGCAGGGCTGGTGCGGCATGGGGTGCTGAGGATCCAAACGGTCTCTGTGTTTGCCTAAGCTTGCCTAAGCAGGCGTTTTAGTCTGCTGAGCTATCTCACCAGCCCACTTCTGTAGGCTTTTTACATTGGTTAAAAAAATTCAGCAGTAGTCAATTTGTATTCAGCCTCTTACCATAGCTGCAACTAAAGCCACAGATGAAGAGGCCACGAGAGGTCTCGGCACCTGCGTTCAGGTACATGGGTGCAGGGCCCGGGTGCTGAGGATCATTGCCCTTGTCGCCTGATCAGCCTCTTTGGAAGCTCGCTCTGATCATTCAGTCACCTGATGTTTTCACTCACGTCAACTACATTATATTCTGCTTTTTACTCCAAGTCCATTTCTTCTTCTGTTTTTGGAGAAGGGAGGGATTTGGGGAAGCCACATACAGCTGGTTGATAATTTCTAGAGACTGTCCGATGTAGGTTTGTTTTCTCTGTTAATGCTGAAGAAATGAATAAAGTAAAAAAGAAATGACCATCTTGATCGATAACAATTTTTTTTTGCACACATTAACCTTTTGTTTTCTGTGCTGTATTGTAATTTCTACGATCTATTATTTTGATTTTGAAGAAATCCTGTCTAATTTTCCCTGTAAAGCAATAGAATATGCAGTTAAGTGAATAAGGGGTTTCCTTACTGAAGACAGTGTATAGACACCTCCTTAGATCTGTTGTAAGTTACGGTGGCCTGCCCCAGGCCCTCTGACCTTCCTGTATTCCTGAGCATTCGTAGCTTCCTGAGCTGTTGTGTAGGTGTGTTTGGAGGGGGATTAGCGAAGCACTATTTCCATTATCCTATAAAATGGGTGCTGTTATCTCTCAGCTCATACCCTCCCTACCCCACGTCATGGAGTGGGAGAAGAGGACAAAGGAACCATAGGAAAACACCAACTGCAAAATCAGGTATCCACAAATACCCTTGGAGAAGACGCTGCACCAAGTGTTATTCCAGTACAGGAGCTCTTTTGACTTAGTCAAGGTTTCCGAGTGAAATATGCTTATTTTACTTTGGGTGTAATCCAGAGTGTGAGATTGCTACCAAGTTCAAGTACATGGTAAGATAGTTCCTGTTGGACGTACTTTCTATGCAGCTAGATGCCTTTATTACCTTTCTCAAGTAAATCCGTACCTGGAGAGAAATCACCTTTCTTTTCATAGCATTTAACAGAAGACTCACATTTATTCTCACTGGATTTGGGGAAGCCTTGTGTGTGACTGCCACAAGAATGCTCAGAGTCCTTGAAGGAAGGGATGATTGCTGAGCCAGTGGCCGAGCTCTATAACTGCATGTGCAGAAGGACACTGAAGAGATTATAGGCTGATGTGCAGAGCTTCACGGTGTCACCAACTGAAGATAAGCTTGGGAAAGTCCAAGGTCACATTCTAAGCAGCTGAGCTCTAGAGCTCAAAGGAGTTTATTTTTTAAGCCAAAGAAAGCTGATGGTAACTGTCGCTGACCATGCCACTTGGAGACACCCTCCATTGATATAGCCAGAAGAGAGAATGACATAGGTTTATATTCTTCTGAAAAAAAAAAAATGCATGCAGGGAGTTTCAAAATTTTGACTCTTTTGTTTGAGCAGGTAGCTTATGTGATTTATCATGCAAAAGCTTTAGGGGAATTTCAAGATTTTTGTGGTTTATTCACTCTTCGTGTTTAACCACGGCTTCACTATGCCGCAAAAGTTCTTTTCCTTCTTGTTTTCTGCTTGTTTACATTTTATTTTATTTTTTGGTAGAACCAGGGATTGAACTCAGACCCTTGCGCTTGCCAAGGAAGTGCTTATTCTACTGAACCATCTCCCCGGCTTCCTACCTTTTAAATTGCAATTCTCTAACCCTTTCAACAGGTTTGACAAGAAATCATCCTTTCTCTTTCACAGAAGGAAAAGCAAATCTGCTTTTCCGTATCTGGGATTTCTTCTTCTCCCCCTGGAGAAAAATGAAAAAGCTACTACAAATGATAAATTCGGGTTGCAAAAATAAGTATGGTTAAGAGAGTAGAATGCAACCTTCTAGACAGACTTGCTGCTTAATAGGTCTCTAGTTCTCAAACTCTAGGGAGCGTGAGAATTACCAAGAGACTGTGTAGACACAGATTCTGGGCCCTGCCCCAGAATTCCTCCTTGGACAATTGACAGTCTTTACAGGCTCCTCTGGGCTGCTGCAACCTGTCCAGGAACAATACTTTGAGAATTGATGTAGTAATTAGACCGTGTTGATTAAGAGCAGGGATTTCAAAGCAGTTAGGAAGATCAGAGTTCAAGGGCAGACTGCCTCTTCCTAACTTGGTTACCTCTGACAAGCGACTTAACCTTCCTGACCTTGAGCTTTCTTATCTATAAAATTACAACAGTAATAGCGTCTTCTTCATGAGGTTCCTGGGAATATTCAATGAAATAATGCACCTGATACTTTTCACATATATTGGCGCCCAGCAAATGAATTACAGTATCATCGAGGCTATCGTGACCAGTATTATTACAAGGTTATATGGGTGGAGGCTTGTAAGCAATTTTAAGTAGCATCCCAGAATCTGTACCAAGTGATAATATTGAGGATAACCACAGGGATGAGCATCCAGCTTAGATAAAAGGCAGAACCTTGTCCTTGCGCCTGAACGTGCACAGGACTAAATATTGGTACACGCTGCTACAGAGGAGAGAAATCCATTTCAGAGGTTCCAACAAAATGGTGACATCCTAGGAGAGTGGATTGACATCAGTGACCAGTGGGGAGGGCAGTAGGGAAGAAAGTGTTTGGTAACTTGGATGGAAAGACGGATAGACGAGATGAGTAGTCATGCTGGTCAACTTCATGTCCAGCTTGTGGTCTTCCGCACCTGCTGGGATATTTTTGTAACAATTCCGAAGCTCCTTTGGGTTTTGTTGCTGCACAGCTTCATTATGCAACGTTCTCACCTGAGCCCAGTCTTCTTTTTATTCTTTTACCTTGGTCTCCCGTCTCCAGCAACATAGAACTGTTCTGTTAAACAGAGACATAAGTGTTTACTGTGGCAACCTATTCTCCTTGCTAGTGGACTCCTTGGAAATGATGAAGCCGTGTAACCCACAGGAATTTAAGGGGGTCCAGGTTGGCCTCCAAGGGACGTGCTTTGCCAGGAGGTTCATATAGCTTGTCATAAAGTAGGATGCCTCTTGCCTCTGCAGCTTCTCAGATATTTTCCAGTAACTCACATGTCTTCCAGAACTTTCCTCACACCTTTCTGTTGCTCTTCTTCTTCTGTGGTTTCTGGGATCTTTGTCATTGTATCTTTTGGTTCCTTTTAGTCTGTCTGTTTCTGTTTAAGAGTGGGATGGTAGTAGGGCTTTATGCAGGGTCTGGGTAGCACAGTTACTTTTTTTTTTTTTTTTTTTGGCAGAACTGGGGATTGAACTCAGGCCCTTGAGCTTGCCAGGCAAGCACTTATTCTACTGAGCCAACTCCTTGGCCCTCAAAAACTTTATTCTTTTTTTTTTTTTTTTGTATTATAGGGAAGGGTCTACAGGGTGTTCAGGGTCTCAGTACTAGCTCGGAGTCATAGTGATCCGCCTGTTTACAGCTTCCCAAGAGCTGGGATTACAGGTGCGTGCCATCACACCCAGTCTCAATTGCTGTCTCAGTGTGCCCCGGGGGCAGGGCAGGCACAGCAGGCCTGGGAACCTAACCCCTGGCCCCTGCACCTGCTTGCAGGCACTTTAATCTGTTGAGCTATTTGGCTGGCCCCAGCACAGTTACATTTAAGCAATGACTTGGAGAGCAATTTATTAAAAAGGTAAATGAGATGTTAACACATAGGAGCACTCGGAGCTTCCACCTTTCTTTTCATGGTTCTTGGAGTCAGCACTACCAGGGTCTTTCTTTTTGCTCTTGAAGTTCTTTAAATAGTCATTTAATTTTTTTTAAAAAAACTATTTATGTATTTATTTGGTACAGGCTCTCACTACACAGCTTGGACTCATAGTGATCTTCATGTCTCAGCCTCCCCAGTGCTGGGATTACAGACATGCACCACCACGCCTGCTTTTGGGCTGGCATAGCACACCTGGGGCTCTGGGGCCAGCACGGCCTGTGCTACCAGGGATCAAACCTGGGTCCTTGCACTTGCCAGGCAGGCACTTAGACTGCTGAGCTATCTCCCCAGCCCAGTTATTTCTTTTAGTAGCTTTCATTTTCTTCTTTGTGTCTCCTTGCCTTTTATTTTATTTCTTTCATTATTATTATTATTATTATTATTATTATTATTATTGGTCTTTCTCTTTTTATCACTAATATATAAAAGATCTTTTTTAAAGAAATAGCCTTAAATAAAGATGCTGGATTGTTTCGCATAATTATTGCATTCCGATTGCCTGACACAGTCCTGTGCATGCAACAGATTCAGGCAGGCAGCAAAGCTATTAGACCCCTGAAAAATTGTAACATTGTCTTTCAGCGCACTTCACCGCCTGCTTTGATCTATGGTCTAATGCAGTTAAATTGGTGTTAGCAGGGTAGAAACACTTTTCTTTGGCCTCATAACTGATTGTTCCTGCACAGTCATGGGACTCTGTCATTATTAGAGAACACACGGAAGGGGGTGACTGATTGATGTCAGCCTCCGACGTGTATACATTTTGAAGATGCTCCCAATTTTGC